TCATAGATCTTTCAAAAATCTTTCATAGATCTTTCAAAGATCTTTCAAAGAATGTGGGAGCGGATCCTTAGAGTTTTCCGGTGGGAAAGGGTTCGTTCCTTGGCGGTTTCCGGTCAGTTCCTGCGGGTTATTGTTTTCTTCCCGTGGATTTCCGCCAGCGGAAAATTCTCGGAACGCTGCGTTTCCGGGTACGAGAAATTTCCGGCCGGAATACTGCTTCCATATTCCGGGTGTTTTTCCGGTCATTTCCGGCGGGAAAGACACCGGAAACGGCGGGAAGAGGCCAGAAAATTCACCGTTTCCGGCTGATTTCTGAAGGATCTGCGGCGTGAATCACCGATCGAAAGAACGATCTTTCAACATCTTTTTCAATCCAAACAGCAATTAAAGTCTTTAAAATACCTTGAAATTAAGGTATCTTGTCAAAAAAATCCTCCAAGCACATTGTCCAGCAAAAGAACCATCGGTGCGTCAGAAATACCTTCAAAATAAGGTACTTTGTCAAAAAGATCTCCCAAGATCTTTCCTCATCAAAACAGCAATTAACGTATCAAAAATACCTTCAAAATAAGGTAACTTGTCAAAAGATCTCCCAAGATCTTTTCCCATCAAAACAGAAATTAACGTATGAAAAATACCTTCAAAAATAAGGTACCGTGTCAAAAAGATCGCCCAAGACCTTTTCAATTAAAACATCTACCAGTGTTAAGAATACCTTTAAAAAAGGTATCCAGGATCGAACCAGGTCTTCGAACGATCGAAAAGGTCCGATTTTAATCAGATTGTAAATACTCACCAATTATTTTTTAATCCATGTTACTCGTACTTATTCTCTCAGTCGAATGAGCTCAAGCACGTGGGGCAATCATATATATAGGGTGGACTCCGGTCTTTGAAAGATCGAAAAAGTCTGATTTTAATTAGATTGTAAATACTCACCAATGATTTTTTAATCCATCTTACTCGTACTTCTTCTCTCAGTCGAATGAGCTCAAGCACATGGGGCACTCATATATACAGGGTGGACCCCGGTCTTTGAAAGATCGAAAAAGTCTGATTTTAATCAGGTTGTAAATACTCACCAATCATTTTTTAATCCATCTTACTCGTACTTATTCTGTGAGTCGAATGAACTCTAGCACGTGGTACACTCATATGTATAGGGTGGGCGGATGTCTGGAAGGGACTGAAAAAAATCGAATTCATTCTGATGAGTAGCACTTGAAACCCATGTTTGTAGCTGAAAAATAGAGCTGATTAACTTAAGTTATTGAAATAATTAGATTGAA